TAGATGTAGCAATCGAGGAGAATGCTGTGAATGTTTCAAAGATTGCAACTTACATGAGAACCACATTCGAGGCCAAACGTGAACCTGAAACGTTGGTAGTTTCCAGTAAAGTTCTGGGGCACTTAACCAGGGCAGGTGGAGCAATGACAGCAGATGAAGTGGAGCGGCTGGTACATTGAACTTTTTTAATGCTCTTGGCAGCAAGATGGTAATTTTTTTTTTTGACTGTTGATCTATGCTTTTCAGTTAAAAATTTCACTGGATTGGCTTGGTGGGGATAGAATGGAATACCGGCGTTTAGCTGCGGTTTTAATTTTAAAAGTAAGTTACCTTTTCCAGATCTACTTGATTATTCTAATCGTGTCTTGAGTCTGTTAGCTTGCAGCCGCAACAAGATCTACACCTTTTACGTAACTTTTATTAAAGATGAGATTGAGTCAAACACATTTTGACCTAAAGAGGCATTATGGAATTCATTTTCAAAGAAATAAGGAAAAACTTAGTTCTTGTTTGCTTCACACTCATTTCTGCTTGTGTCAACTTTTACATTACTATTCACTTTTCAACATCCATTTATTATTATTCTTATTATTATTCTTATTATTATTATTATTTACACTTTTTGTCTTACATACTACGCTTCTTCTTCAACTGTGTAATTTTTTTTTTAATTTTTTTTTATCTCTTAAAATCAAAATTCTAAATGTATTTTTGTTGCTTGTTGTCACACACCTGGTTTGTTTAGTATTATTGTCACCAGCTTTAGAAAAGTCGAATTATTTTTCCTTTTCATAGAGTTGTGGTAAAACTGTGCATGATACTATAAGAAAGTGCTGAAGACCTCAGCATTGACCACATGTCAGCAAAATGAAAAGATCTTTACCTAAGAGAAAGGTAGAAAATAAAACAATGCTAAACGATCTTAGTCTTCCGTAAAATTGATCTGGTAAAGCAAGTGGAAACTATAGTACAAAGCCTCATAGGTTTCTATATGTTCCAAAGTCTATCTTGCTTGAAAGTAACTATTAACTTTGATGACTAAGCTCCAATGAAATTTATACGCATCCGATGGGCGTCCTGTTTGTTCCACTCAGCGACTGTTTAAGTTCGCATTTATGGCTTGAGTGCCGTAATTTCATAATTTTGCTTTTTATTTATATCCTACCGGTCTTTCTTGATCTGCTTCACCAAAG